CAGATTCAGTAGCCATCTTCTTAATACTTCATGATGGAGATTAAACTTCAGTTTTGGTAGGAACATTCAAACTGTTGTCAAACAGCATCTTTATTAGACTGATCGTCAAGAAGAGGAGATTCTGATCAGAGAAGTTCAATTCCTTGGCCAAGGCCACATAGCAGCTTGTGGAGAAGAGTGGAGTAGAGTATGGTAGTAGTAGCTGACTACTAAGCATGGGGCCCACTTGTCATGCAAACTGCAGGCCTGCAGAGCTCCCTCAGAGACCTCTGGGTCCCAACCTCTTGCCTCCTGGCTCCAAGGAGAATAAGCATGGACAAGGCCACCACATAGGTTTTCCTGTTGAAAGAGTTATTAAGGGTTTACCTGTGACTATTTCCAGGTAGCTTCCAGAGCTGTGTCTAAGGGAGGGTTCCTGTGATGTGTGCCACTTAGATGGAGGGGTCCCGAGTGCCAGTCACCTAGGCACAGGCTGGTACTCCCGGAAGGCCTCACAGTTTTCCTGCTAACACTTGAAGAAAATGTTTCCTATTCCAGGAGTTAGCATTTCTAAGAGATGCCCAAAACATAGAAAAGTTAGTAGGGAGAGATAAGGACTATGGCATTCTTTCCACTGTGCAAAAGTCATTGGAGAAAGGATTTTTTGTGTAATCTTTTTCTTAGGCCTGCTGGCTGTACCTTTGAAGGTCCCAACAAGAACTTTATGCCTGTGATCCTAGTCATGTGGGAGGCCACAGGTAGAAGGATTGAATGTCTGGGACTAGCTCTGGGCAAAAGTGTGAACCCTATCTGATAATGAACTAAAGCAAAAAAAAAAAAGGCTGAGGTGTATGGTTCAAGTGGCAAAGCAAAAGCCAGAACCAAGGACTTTCCATTTCTGTCCTGTGAGTCATCTCTGCTCTTGTCCTCCTGTGGGCCCTGTTTCCTCTCACTGGTACTATGGTGGCAGCCACTGGCAGGTCTTTCTGACACGGTTTACCCCCTTCAGCCTGTGCACCAGATGCTGGTGCTCAGGGGCGGTGCAGCCCCGGCTAAGTCAGTCTTAGCCTTGAAGGGAAAAATACCTGGTGTCCTGTCCCACACCTGCTGTGCTCTGTTGGGGTCCCTATGGTAGGCCTGGCTCAGCCACAGCCCTAGGTCTCTGCTCAGCCTGGAGGGCCTACCTTCCTCTGGTATTAGGTTCTTACTGTAATATCCTCCAAGACCAGTTTGTCTCCCCTCACCCCCACCCCAGACCTTCTCTGGCTTAGGCACGCCTTGCTTTTCTGAATTGCTTTTGCAGTCGGTGCCCTCACATGTGAGGACAGTGGTGTGTTGAATGAATGGAGCAAAGCGTTAAAGCCCCAAACCTGAAGAACCCAGGTGCAGTGTAGTGCACAGAGAAGGCCTATGTCTGCTAAGTGGATCTGCTTAGTGACAGGAAGGGCCTTTAGAACTCACTTGGTCTAAACTGTGCTTTTACAAATGGGGAAACAGAGGCCCAGAGTAGGAAAGTGGTGTTATAAGGTAAGTGAATCATGGGCCAGAAGACAGGAGCCTGACCTGGACTAGGTCCCTTGCTCCACAGGACCATTTTCTTACATTTGAGATACAGGCAGTGGTACTCATCTTGTGAATGAGTGTCATGGGATTTCCAGGGGATTAAATGAGATTCTGGGTGCCAAGGAAGACTTGGTGACAAGTAAAGGATCTTTGTCATCGTGGCTGACATTTGCTGAGCTTTCTTTATGTGCCTGTTTATGCAGTCTTTATAGCCATTTTCATTGCTCCTAGTTTATGGAGGAGGAAACTGAGGCACAGAGATGTTGAGTAACCTGTTAAGGTCACAGATTTAGGAAAGGGCACACTCAGGATTTGAACCCATATAGTTTGGCTCTAAGCCCTTGCTTTCAGCCTCTTCCTGATTCACTGAGACTCATGTGGTACAATTAAGACATGGTCTTAAACTCAAGCAGTCTGTCACTTCCCAGCTAGTTTTGGACCAGGCTAGGTGAGACCTAGGTATCCTCCTTAGTTGGTGAAGACCTTGTCTCTAATATCTATAGTGTGAGGGATGGCTCCCTACATTCAGCTGGCTTTGTGTATGGCACTTCTGATAATCAGGCACCATCTCAGAGTCCATACCAGATAAGTGGACTAGATCTGGAGATGATAGGACAGAGGCCTTAGGCACCCATCACCCTATAACCCTGAGAATATCCACAGCGAGTGTTCTGGTGGTTCATTTCCTCTACCCATGTGGGCATTAACTTGGAAAAAAATGGTTCAAATCCTGGTATGCAGCAGGTATGCAATACACTCCTGGCTATGGGGTCTAATAATGGGAGCTATGGTAGCTGTCACCTAAGTTAGAGAAGCGTGATTCAGTAATGTGATACTGTATGACCTAGAAGAGCCTAGCATGCCTCCCTCCCTCCCTCCCTCCCTCCCTCCCTCCCTTCCTCCCT